CTCTAGAAAACCAATACCAGGTGGGATGAAAAGTTTGAACTATCTCCTCAAAACAATCCTAATACCTTTCATTAATTATTTAGGTCCTATTCATGGCACAATATCTAAGTATATAAAACAGTATATAAACATTAACTTATCTGAGTTATGCTAATGTACAAGATAAGAGGAAGGTTAATATGTCAACGACTAAGAAAACAATCTTGAGTATGAGCTGCACAGACCATTAATTTTTTTAAATAATGGCTTTATTGAGATATAATTTACACAGCATACAATTTACCCATTTAGTGTAAGATTCAGTATATTTGCAGAGTTGTACAACCTCCATGACAATCAAGTTTAGAACATTCTCATTCTCCCCAAAAGAAACCTAAAGAGTGACCATTAGGAGTCACTCCCCATGCCCCACCCCACTCCAGACCCTTAGTCCTAGGTAAACACTAATCTACTTTCTTTCTCTACAGATTTGCCTATTCAGGACATTTCATATACATAGAATAATACAATGTACTGGACCATTAATTTAATAACATGTGAACTGTATCCAAACAGAATTCTACTGATTCTCACAACTTGTGAGATGTTCTATAAGACTTGCATCTTTAGTGAGGACCCGGAAGAGTCTGGTTTAACAGTGGAGGGCAGTGGCCCAGGAAACTGCATGTGAGGTCCTGAGATGACCCTGATGTTCACCCAGAATTAGTAATCACTGCTGCACCACTGAAATGCTTCTCCAAAATACATCATTTATAGTGGGACTCTAATTCACTGCCCTGCAAGCTGAAATTAGGTAATTTGATGAAAAGAAAGTATCACAAAGGTAGCTGGTTCTCTTAGGTAACTGAAAAACCTTTGAGTTTCTACACAAAGTTTCAGCAAAATCCTACTTATAACAGCTTGACGTGGAGGGGATCACCTAAACTGCAAGTTAGGAGCCTGTCTTGAAGGAACTCAGGGAGCTGTTAGTCTGAGAAAGCATAAAAGTTAAAAGCCAAGAGCACTGAGCTACCTTACCTAGATTCATGACCTGAGACTGAAGCATCTGCCTTTGGCCAGGTTGGCTGCTGGGTCTCATGGGGATGCTGGCAGTTGGATTCCGAATCATACCTCCTTGGAGCGGCCGGTTCATGGCGCTGGCGGTAGCAGCACAGGTGACTCGCACTGAACTCTGCGGTGCCCACTCCCCAGATGGCATAGTGGGCCGGGCGGCGTTACTACCTATCATCCCTGAAGGCAAGCCAGAGAAAACTGAGAGATGCAGGAACTGAAAACATACTCAGCATGTGTGAACACCAGATGATCTTACTATGAACAAGATAATCAGTCTGCAATACGCAGTTAGCCCAATAGCTAAGGCCCTTGCTGGGATAGGTGTGGGCCCTTGGTTAAGAAATAAGACTTGGCAATTACTACAAAGTTTTTTACAACACGGACTTGCCACTCTTCATAGTTCGGAAAAGCTGTTAAAATTGTTCCCATATGTACTTAGAAACAGGTGCTGTGGCGTGTGGATAACCCCAACTTCCTTCCTCAGGAAGTGAATCACATTAGCTGATACACACGTCAATGCTTTACTTTCCAAAAGGGAGGTAGGGCGAAGAGGAACCAGGTAAAAAACTGATAATCAATACTCTAATTACAAACCAAAATCACAGAGAATATCCAGTGAAGCCCATGCCTAGCCCTTTCAGAGTATTATAATTTGTTAAGCTTCCAAGTCCAGGGCAGCCTCTAAAGCATGGGAAATTACCAGATCTTTCTACTACAGTTTTTTGTAGCCAAGGCCAGGGAACTGCTGCTGCTTCAATATGCCTGGACCACCACATTCCTGATTATAAATCTAGAATGGGTTAGCGCAGACTTGTAAAAATCCTTTTATGTTTGAGATGTTAATAGCTATTTGACAAGACGTAACAATGAGAGCACAACACTGGCAAGCAGGATCAGGAGCCTGCTCTCCCTGGCCTGGCCCCCAGGATGCTGGCAACGGCCAGAGATTTGCTAAGACTTGATATTCTAAAGGTTCCGGAAAAACCCCAAGTGCGGACCCTTCATTTTGAAATGTTTAATGACGGATGTATAAAAGCTCTGCTTTTAAATACATGGCTTGGTTTCATTTACTTTAATGATAATAAACAACTAAAAGAAGGGTATATTTAAGAAAAGGAGCAACCATGTATGGAGGGTGGTTTTTCTCTGGTAAAAAGAGAACGTACTCCATTAGGATGATTAAGAGTGAAGGACATTTAATTAGATTGAAAAAGTTAGAACAATATTATGGTAATATATATTTTAAAGGCCATTTTAAGATTAGGTTTAAACTGTACAAAGATATTATGGGAAAACAGGCATTTTAGCTTGCCAAAAAATTTATTATCTAAATAATATAAGAAGATTATAGAAAGTCTAGAAAGCAGAAGGAAAAATCATTCATAATTCAACAACATTAATGCAATTATAACTGGGGTAGTCTCTGTGTCTTTTTCTTTTTGAACGAAGCACAGGCAATTAATTGTATAATAGCCTGAGTACCAGTGGTCTATGGGCTGCCTAGATTTGAATACATAACCCCAAATTCTTACTTAAGGTTCCCACAGGAACTCAGATCTTTTTGGATTCTGCTAATAAGAAGCCACCTTTAATAAGTCATTGGCTCCTGTTCTCTTATAGAATTTTACATAAACCAATATTTTATTTATGAAGTAGTAGGTTCCTGGCACTTAGGATAGGCACCCAATTAATATTTGTTGAATGAATAAACTACTTTAATATAGCATAGTTCACATTTCCCATAAATTGCTTATGAACAACAGAAAATAAAAAATCTCATCTTTTCCCCTTAAATTGAACTCTTATTTCAGTTAACTATCTAACTGGCAAATGTTTACAGGGATTACATACTAAGATAAAAACAAAAACAAAACCCCAAAATTAAATACCCACCAATATAAATTCTTTTGATAATATCTATTCTTTCAGTGTCCTTGTCTTTAGGACCTCATTTTGACAAAGGGAGAAAGCTAAATATTGAATTCTTCATAGAAAAGTCAGCGTCCTGCTGTATCTGTGAGAAACAGATATCACAGGATGTGGGATGTGGCAGTTATAGCAACCAGTGATGATGCGGTGATTTCCAGCCTGAATTGGATAGAAGTTTGGGAACACGGTAGCTGCTATGACACTGACTACCACTTAGGAATGTGCTCGGGCAACCTCAAGTTGCAGCAGGTCAAAGTCCATACCAGGTCATTGGCAACTTCAAAATGAAGCCCTGGGCCAGTTACTATCAGGCCAGGCATCCACCATCCTCCTGTTTAAAGTTTTTTATTTTTTAATTTTTTTTAAATTAAAAAAAAAAATCTTTATTGATTTCAGAGAGAGGAAAGGAGAGGGAGGGAGAGAGAGAGATAGAAACATCAATGATAAGAGAGTCATTGATCCGCTGCCTCCTGCATACCCCCGACTGGGGATCGAGCCCACAACCCAGGTATGTGCCCTGACCGGGAACCAAACCCCGATCACCTGGATCCTGGCTCACTCAACCGCTGAGCCATGCCTGGCTAGGCTAAAGTTTTTTATTTTTATTTATTTTTAAATTAAAAAAAATAAATAAATAAAATATATATATATATATCTATCTTTATTGATTTCAGAGAGGGGAAAGGAGAGGGAGAGAGAGAGATAGAAACATCAATGATGAGAGAGTCACTGATCGGCTGCCTCCTGCACACCCCTGACTAGGGATTGAGCCGGCAATCCCAGCATACACCCTGACCGGGAATTGAACCCTGATCGCCTGGATCCCCGGTCGATGCTCAACTACTGAGCCACACCTGGCCGGGCAAAGTTTTTTATTTTTAATGAATATTTTTCTGAATGAAGAATTGTATTGTTTACAAGTATGAAAGGTTGGTTGAATTTTAAACCTATTCTGAAATTCTCCAAACACAAATCATCAATTAAAAGGAAACTTTGGAGTTATCAGCAGATTATCGAGAAGCTGGCAACCACCAAATTATCTTACACACACCACCATGATGTCTTGAACAGTAACAGGAATAGAAGTGGAATAAGCCTATGGTATAGGACTCATGATTAGCAACCTTGTGAAAGTAATGATCACAGAATAAAACAGTCAGCTTACTGGAATGCTCTCCGATGCTTCATATAACCACTTTTATGGTAAAAATCTTTAAACTTTTCTTACGTACAAATGTTAGCTTCTAACATGAAAAATTTCACCTGAAGAATTCTACTAGTTTGACGTGGATGAGTACATCAAATTAAGTAACCTGGTAAAGTAACAGTGCATTTGAGCCCTTACCTGTGTTACTGTTTCCTAAATTTCCTTGGTTTCCTATCATTCCTTGGTTACCCATCATTCCTGGCTGAGGTATCACTGAGTAGGGACTACTGTTTCTGATTGGTGGGAAGGGTCCAGCACCAGTTGGGCTTTGCAATGTGATGTCAAGTGGTAAATTCTGGTTTGGCAATAACCTGCCCAGTTGCCCTGGTCGTGGGTTATTAAAAGCTAAGGGGAGAACCAAAGAAAATTGAAGGTTAATATTAGATAACAGAACAGAATTGTAACAGAAGTAGTGTTTAGGAAAAATGTCTATAAAATAACAAAGATATGCATGTCAGGGACCAATTGCCTACATAAGAGACAAATTCACAGATGAAAAAACATGCAGTGTCAAAATCTAATAATCTAAACCACAGGCAACTAATTTAATTATTCACATTCTTGCAGAAAGAAAAAAAAGAACGTAACATGTCTGTTATTTACCATGTATTTTTAATATTAATTTCTAATATTCGATTGTATTTGCTAAGTAAACCACTAATATGTTTTTCTTCATGTGATATTATTTGAATATAGGAGTACTCCTTTGTAACAGCTATGAAGCTATAAACATCTCCTTCATATAGTACCAAACCCAAAAACACGTGGTTTGAATGTTAGAATAGCACGTGTCCCCTGGACCTTCCTAGGAGTAGCATTAGGGTCAAAGTGCTGAATTTCAGTGGAAGTGAAAATCTTCAAAAGTGTGAACTCTGCTACCTAAAGTAATTATTAATGCTTTGGGGCCCTAATCTTTAATCTTCCAAATACAGCTTTTTAGAATTCTAGATACATTTAGGTTCGAAATGATTCTTAGGGCTAGTTCCCAAGAATTTACTGTGTAATAAGCGCGACATCAGTGTACTATTCTAGCACCCAGAGAAACAGTCATTTGATATCAATGCTATTAAAATCTAAAAGTACAATGATATTATAAATTACAACTTATAGCACTAATTTATTAAATGATACCAAGTACTTCACTTTCTCTGAATTGTATAAACACAGTATGAAATAGAACAATTAAAAGAAAAGGTTCTTCACAATCACTAACAGAAATAAAATATTTAGAAGAATTAGGGCCTGGGCTAGAAAGGATATACATGCTTACTCATGACTTCCTCAGGTTTAGTTTTGTGGTTTCCATTCAGTAACCTGCACACTATTCGGAGGTAAGATGGCGGAGAAACCGTGAGTTCATATGCAGTTTGTCCTTCAGTTCCTTTGGTTAATGAGCATGAACTTTCTAGTGTTTCTTACTTCTCAACTCTTTGACTTGTGCTCTCCCATGGTCCATAAATAACCCTCTATTCCCCAAGAAATAGCCAGGTTTGAGAGGCAACAGCAAAAACTCTACTTTGTTTTCCCTTTTTTGGAATGACCAGGAATCACTTGAGAAAAAGACCTAGTAAATAAAGGTATCCTGTGATTTGGCTGATAGCTGCCATTTCTGGTTGGAGAACCAATGCTATGCTTTGGGCCAAACTGTACTGGAAGAAGAAAAAAAATCATTCTGTTCACCAATGTAACTGTAAGGAGGTTATTTCTCTTTCTATTAATTATGTCCCTGGAACAGGAAAAATATTCTCTTCCATTCAAGCTATTGGGCAATTTTGTAGGCAACTACAAAGTTTATAAACTAAGTGTTCACAGTGAAGGAAGATTTCAACTTAAGTGTATCTAAATACAATTTAAAATAAAAAGAATAAAATAAGAGAAATGTTATTTCATTAACTTTATAAGATAGTCTACGGTCTTCAAGCTTTATATCAAACTAACCAAACTTAAAATGCACTTAGAACATTTATGATAAAGTCCCATGTAAAACTGATATTTGTATGGGGATTCCTACGAGACAGGATGAGATGTTCTTAATGTGTGTAGCCCTTTCACAATAATTATTAAATATTTTGAGAATTTTTAGTAGTATATTATTTCTAAAAAGTCAGCATAACTTTCTAATTTTCTATATTTTAAGTATTCAGTTATATAGCAAAATACATAAAATCTATTTTAAACTCCATTTCTGAAGGCAGTAGCTGAAATGCAGGGAATTATGACGATCATCTAAAGAACTTCATCTATGTGGGTCAGTCAGTCTCACTCCACAATGATTAAATCTACCACAAAGAATGCTGGGAAGTCACATTCAGAATAATCCACTTTGAATACTGTTTGGAAGGACAGGACAGTAGGTGGTGCTGTCTGACCATAAAAACCTTGAAGTAACTAAGGCTGTTTGCATCAGATTTTAATAATCCCTGTTTCTGACGGTGATTATATGGCATAACCATCAATATCTCATACTCACTGCTCTGTGAAATTCGTGGTCCTGTTTTCTGGGCTCCAACAGGTGTGACTGGGCTGTTTTCAGCTGTGAGTTGCATGAGGTCATTGATGATGGCTTGCTTGTCAACTGATCCAGCAGGGGCGCCAGGCCTCGTGTCTGGGAAAAGCTGTGGCAATTGACTATTCTGCAAATCATCCAAAATCTCCTCCAAGTTGTCCAGTTCACTGCCAGGCTGCAGTTAATGACAGAAGAGTTTATCCCGTCCCACTGTAAGAGTGGGCACCATAGGCCCACTTGCAATTACAGACCTAACTGGTATAAGGCACCACAGCCAAGTAAAAGATGCAGATACATGCCCACCTCAGGCCCAACAGTTAATTGATCACTTTAAAAAATTAAACTGACAAAGAACATATTACTTAATTTCTTGGTCCTCAATTTCCTCCTCTGTAAAAAGAGAGAGGACTGAATTAGAAAGAACGCTCTCTTCCAGCATCGTGATTCATTGGCAATTTATAAATTCCCCCTTACTTTATGCTCATAATTCAATTAATCACAAGTATGTATATTTCTAATTAATCAACACTTACCATCCAGATCTAGGTTTCCCAGTTAATATCCCCAAGAAATGACAACAATAACAAATGCTGGTAGAAAATATGACCCAAATGTACTCTACATCAGTACTTAGTAAATGGCGATTCCCTTTTAGGACTTTCTTTTTTTAAGAGGAGGGGGTAAAATGCAAAATTAGCTTGCGGCAACCATGAACAGCTAAGCATTTGCCTTTTCAATTTGACTGGTGGTTTTTCTTGCTTGTACTTTCAGTTTCGAGTAACACTGGCTTTCTCAGTCACTCACCGGCTTAGGTGACAACATGTAGGGAAGCAGGATGGGAAAACATGTTGTCCCCAGACACAGTGCCTATTAATCTGACTTCACAGGAGCCATAGAAATGTTTTTTCCCTTAATGAAAATAATTTCATTTCAATTACCAACATTATTTTTAAAATAATAAGGCAAATATCACCACCATGTTAGACTCGGTGGCTTTCTTCCAGAAAGCCCGACTGCTTGTTGTGTTCTTTTAAGTAGAACCTACCTATGTGCCAAGTATTAAAATCAGACAGTGCCAACCACACAAGAAAATGGCTAAGTTAAACTTAGGGTTACTTTCTAGTAAAAAAGTGGTAAGAATGATTTTCTTGATGTGTAGGTGGAAAAACATAAGTTAGGGAATTTCCCCAAAGTCACTGAATGGACTTTGAATTCTTGACCATGACTAACCTTTTCACCTACACTGGCAACTCAAGTGAAGTTGTTCGGTATACAGTTATGCAGAAGGGCTTACACATTTATCCTATATACACCCTATTCCCCATGAAGAGGTTGGATTTGCTGAGGTTTTTGCAATTTATGGCAAATATAATAGGGATCCATTTTCCAGGGTTAACAGAGAATTTTCTAGTTAGTTCAGCCACCCATTTCTAACAAAAGACAGAAGCATCAAATATGGGAGAGACACATCTTAGGTGCGGATTAGGTTCCAAAGTTAGCACCCTGCAGTACAGATGGACACAGAAAAGACCCTTAAAACTCCTCAGGAAGGCCAGTGTCTCCTCCTGAGTGCCTAACCCTAACCCTAAAGGATGTCGTTTACATGGGGCCGTGCTGCACTTGAAAGCCTGGACCTACGGGTTCACACTATTAGAGGCACAGGGAACGAAACTCCAGTGAGCTCCTTCTCACCATCTCTGTCACTCTGTCCTCAGGCACCTCACCATCAGGGTGCGAGGGCCGGTACTCAGCGGGCTGAATGGCGGCAAAACTGCCCCCTGCTTAAATAACCATTTAATAGCCGCCTCTCCTTCCTTTCTAATGCATACAGATGTTTGTATAAGTTCAATGTACACGTAAAGTGACTCCACTGCAAATCTGTCCAGATCGTGTTTTGCTGAATATGTAAGCAGAAAGATCAGTGTAAACACGCTCCCCACCAACTGCCTGGAACTCTACGGCCACTCAGTCAACCTGACGAACTCCTTCAACTGTATTAAAAATTTCCCGGGATCAACTAAATTTCTCGAGAAATTCCTCCAATTCCTATGAACTTCTCAGAAAAATGACTGATAAAAATGTGTGCTATCCTTACAGTTGTGTCATGAAAACAGCCAGAGACTAGAAAGAGGTTCTAATACCCTGGGGAGTGGGCGGCTCCCCTGGAAGCTGAGATTCTCCAACGCGGCCTGTGCAGAGTACTTTAGAAAGCGCCCGGGAAGTCCTCTGTGTATGGGCTGAAGGAGATAGCTGCTCTAGGCGATAAGCTGCTTCTTGAGAAAGCTCTGCAGATTGCCTTGGATGAGAAGCACCCAGAATAAATACGTTCATACAAACAATCGCAAAAAATAAAGCATTTTTCCTCAATGGGTGCTCTCATATTTACTCTCAACCCCAGACATGTGAAAAATAAAGTTTTTATTCTATCAAGTAACAACAGTCTGGGTCTTTCATTTTTACCTTTACTGTTTGCATGCAAATAAAATTATGCTTTATGCCATCTCAAACAGACAAATAAAAATCAGAGTTTCAAAGAGTTCTAATGACAGGATTCAGGATACTTCTTTTGTAATCTACTCTTGTGTCTAATATAATGAGTTTAAAATAAGTCTGACATTTTATATATATAAGTAATGTTACTTATACACAAACACACAATGTTAAAATATATTTGTTGCTTTAAATAAATTTATTTTTAAAATTTCAAATAATTAGAAGTTTTAAAACCCATCATTTTCTTTGGTTGATTTTTGGTTTTAAAAAGCATATATGAAAACTGACTTTCAAATTTTAATCTTTTCCATTTTAGAAGCTGACCAAATTCAACTGTGGATCAGTCTAATTCTGACAAGTAACTAAATATAATTTGTCTTAAGAAAGCCATATAGGAACTTCTTGGCGTTAGGTTCAAAAGGAATAGGATATTTAGAGACTCATGGCTACCGCCACTATTTAATTCCGCCAGTTTGCCATCAGAAATACGCACTAGGACATTTCCCCCACAACGGATGCTGAGGCTTTGCTTGTGCTCCTTCTGGTCAATTTCTGGGGTACACATTTGACACTAATCTAGCTGTCTTAAGTTTATGTTAAATGTTTCTCTTCAAGTAGATAAAGTTCGGAATGCCTGTAATCCTTTGACTGTTTAGTAATAAAAATGGACAAATATGGCATTTTCTTCTGTAGTCCTGTAAGCTCTGGGAGGGGTGGATTTGATCACATTAAGTCTCCGATCAAATCTTTCCTCCCCTAAATTTCAAGCTTTAACTCTCATCCAAATTTCTTCTAGTCATTCCCTCTCCACTTTTTAGGCATGATTTCTTCACAAGACAAAAAGATTGAAGGCTTCCTTTAAAAGGCTTTGCCAAGATACTTTAAAGTTTTGCTTAGGCATCTCTATTTGAACGCTCAAATTAGCCACATCAATTGAAATAGTTTAAACTATTTCAGGCAGAAAATGAGTCAGAAAGATTTTTATACAAGTTCTACAAAATGAAAATTGAACTTGATTTCTTTAATTTTTCATTTTCTTGGTTTTATGAATTTTTCATGTGTCAAATTACTTGTTCTCTGAAGCAAATATAAAGAGCACATGCATTTTAATAACAAGTATTCTAATAAATTACTAAACATCTTTTCAAAATTTTAAATAAAGTATAATTTTACCATATTTGCCTAACATAAAATTATTAAAACATGGTAATACAATTTACCACATTTGAAGGGAAATACTACCAGTGTAAGGTATGGCTTGCCATTCTACTGGAACCAAATAACAAGAAGTACTTCTTTTTAGACTGTTTCTAAACCCTTATCCTAAGTAGTCCAGTAGCATTAGAAACGGTAAGTTCCATTTGGAGGGGTATCTATAGGCTCTACTGTGTAAATAAGTATATAACTTCAAAGTTGGTAAACATACTGGAAATTATGCTGTCATTACTTCCTGTTGGTTATGAAATGCCGTAGAAACAAATGTTTGAATACTCTACCCAGTAAGGAATGCTATTTTAGGTAAAATAGCACCATCGGAATACTTCCTGTCCTTAATAAGTTAGTGATCGGTTAAGCACACACTTGGGTAATGGCTCTTTGCTGAGTCAAAATAACAAGACAGTTAACTGTGCACTCGAGCTTGCTAACAGTTTATCTTACTAAATAAAAAACTTGTGTTCCCTTGAAATCAAAGAAAAGTCTTCAATAAATGTGTACAGCAGTTAATAGGAGATACGATTAATCTGTATTTGGAATTAGTGAAGGAGAGCAGGAGGAGAAAGAGTCACTTGTTTTTTTCAAGTCATTTTAACTTTGATCTAAATTTAAGTAATGCATACTTCCTGTGGTAACTTTTCTTTTCAAGTTGCAATGTTTTTGATGTTAAAAGTGCTCTGAAGCAGTATTTTTTGGTGGAGATTTAAACGGGAGGGGATGGAGGGTGAGACACAGACTAGGTTTCATTAAGAAAAAAAATACTGTATACGTGTGTGCCTGTGTACACTGCTTTGTGGTCTACCGAAATACTAACAGATTTGTTGGTGCTAACACTCTGGGCTTTATGTTCTCTAGGTGGGACAATTTTGATTGGAAAAATGTTTCTCCAAAACAATTAGAAACTGCAAGGACTTTTTAAAAAACTTCTCTGTCAGTTTTTTGTTTGAAGTTAGTATAATCATATATCTAAACATAGAAATGCCAGTGTCCCTCCTCCCTGGCCCTCTAAGTCCATAGGGCTTCAGGCAGGGGACAGAAACAAATTGCGTTTCTGGAGGGAAGGGCAACCACTTGGCCACTAAGCTAAGGTAGACCTCGTGAGTCGCCATCCTGCCCTCTAGCATGTGTCAAGAGACTTGAATGACAGTATGTGTGCCTGCCACCCTGAACTGCCATTAGCTCTGTATATTCTAATCTAGTAAATCTCAAAAGATTAAAAACATTTACAGTTGTCAGTGTTGTTTTACAGTACGCTTTATCCAAGATACTGCTATAATGTTCTGTTGAGCCCTCAGTTTCCCCATCTAATGATTTTACAGTATCACAGAATAGCTGTTATATAGAATTTTGCACTAACATCCAAATTTAAGGGTTAATTACCAAAGATGTTTATATAATTAAGGCTGTTTCCCTTGTGAAGGACACAAAGGCTTGAAAATCATCTCTGCCTTACAGAAATGGTAGCAGCTGTCAAGACATCAAAGGGAAAGAAAGAAAGGAAGCAAAGTGCTTAGAAACCCGGACAGAGCCCAGCTGTAAACATGTGCGGTCTCAGATCTCCCGTTTACTGCTTTCCATCCCAGATCTGCCTCTGGGCCAGGTTGTGCTGACTCAGCAGAGTCCAAGGCTACACACACAGCAAGGGGCACTGCCCTCTCCTCTCCTCATGTACACCTAGCCCCGAAGACAGTGACACACACCATACACACTTACAAAACAAGTTTCAAGGGCAAATCAGTGAATCATTTTAAGTAGAAAGGCCCACGCAGCTCCTTCTCTTCTTAACCAATCATGTCTTAAACGACCTGAAGCACAGGGCAGAGCTCAGGGATTGGGGGGAGACTGGAGAGAGCAGGGTGAGGTCTTAGACCATTAACCCAGCCAGTTACAGATTCCCCAGGAAACACCTTATGCCAAACCATTGTGTCAGTAAATGACTTTTTTTTTTTAAATAAAGAAAACATTAAATGGTTTACATTTTTCTTGTGATGTCATTATTTCCTCAGAGTATTATCAAGAATGATTTTGAAATATCACTTGGCTGTTCTGGATTTTTCCAGGGAATTTAATCTTCAGATAAAAACAACAGATAACAAAACTGATTATTTTAGGTATGCATTTATATATGATGGCTCAGATATGATGGCTCAAGTCAAACTTTACCTCTCCTTTATTACTATTCATTTGCCCCTACATACTTTTTATACCGATGGGCTAAGAAATAAAGTCTTTAGCGTGAATCAGAAGTTTTGGTCGAGAATAGAGTTACAACGATCTTCATTAGGTTTGCAAAGGCAGTCAAACCCTGACCTTAAAAAAAGAGAAAGGTAAACAAGAAATAATTCAGTTCAGTCTGTACCAACAAGGCCCAGTTGCCAGTAAGTGATTATCTCCAATTTCGGCATCGTCTACAAACAGGGGTCAAACTACAGCTGGCCTTCGGGCCATCTCTGGCCACCGCCTGTTTTTGTGTAGCCCACAAGCTAAGAATGGATTTCAATGTATCAAACTCAACTACCAGGGTCTGGAGCACAGCACACCGCTTGTATTCAGTGTCTGCATTGCACAGACCGTGTGGCCCGCAAAGCCTAAAATACTTACCGTTTGGCCCTTTACAAAGAACCGGCAGTTATCCCTGCCCTATCACAATGTCGCGCTTTACTAGGGTATTCGGAACATGCAGCATCAGTGAAAATGAACTGTTTTCAATCAAGTAAGAACAATAAGAGAAGACTTATTTTATCTAATCACCCGCGGTGCCGAAATGCCCCTGTGGAGAAAAATCCTTGATGGATAGGGGTTAGCAGTCTTGGGAGAACACATTATAAAACTTACCTGGTCACTAGGCTCAAAGCTCATCTCCTCCTTCTCGGTTTTCATAGCTATTAACTTTGTGTTACTGGCAGGGTCTGTCTTACTGTCCAGTCGCTCAAGTTTGGGGGTTATTTCCGGTAAACCAATATCTTTAGTATCATCTTTATCTAGCAAATAGCGAAGTAGTGCATTCTCTTTCTTCTTAGGGCTCACTGGCTCCTGTTTTACAGTCACTTCTGAACCAGGAGCTGTGCTGTTGGCCTCCTGGCTCAGCTCTTTGCCTGTGGCTTCTGCTGTTAACTTAGCCAAGTCCACAGGAGAACTGCTGTCCTGCAGGAGTCTGTGCAAAATCTTATGCTTCTCCTTGAGCGAGGTCCCGTGTGTCGACCCAGAACCAGGCAAGCTACCCGCGGAGTCCTTGTTTGTGTCTGACAGAGAGTTGGACAGCGGCGAAGGCTCCATCTGGTCAGATTTGGTGGTCAACAGCTGTAGGAGTTTGGTCTGTCCTTTGCTGTCATGCAGTCTGTTCTGCCCGTCAGATCGCTCGCTGCTCACGCCCTGGGGTGCACTGGAATCACTTGTTTCCTTTTGCTCTCCGGGATGGCAGCTGCTCTCTGCTTGTCCAGCTGTACCTTCCGATGGCTCCCCATACAGCCCAAAACAGTCTTTGGAGTCTAAGCTCCCCATCTTGCTGAGTGGAGGAGGATTCATATTAACTGGGGAGTTTTGCAAATTGCCCATTTTTAGGTCCGGTGAAGCCAATGATGAGCCTAATGAGACCCCGTGGCCCTCGCTGAGGGCCTGAAGTGCGTTGAGGGAACTGTTGGTGTAGCTATGGCTATTTCCTGTGCTGCTGCAAACTCCCACAGGGGAATGCAAGCTTCCTGCGGGGGAAAACTGGCTGGGTGGGATTCGGGGGCTTCCAGCCACCCCAGGGCTCATGCGATGTCTCGGTGAAAGCATGGAGTTGGGCTGGCCTGGATTCATGCCAGGGCTGCTCTGTGAGGGACTGTTCATTTTGAGTGCATAGTTACTACCCTGAGGAGTGGTTGCTTGCATGCCTGACACATGGTTCAGTCCCCCAGAACCACCAAACCTGCCCATGGGCATGCTCATTTGCTCCTTTGGGCCGTTTATGGGAAAATTGATATTGCTACCAAGGGTCATGTCCTGACCTGGGTTCGCACTGCACATGGTCTGATGGGCAGGGCTGCTGGAGCTAATTGGATTCAATGGCTTCCCCATCGCTTGTCCAGTCAGATCCGGATTCATTAAACACACATTCTGCTCTCTGTATGAGGAAAAAATATATAAGATAAAAGGCAAAACACTTAGCAAGTTGTTACTAATTTTAAAAAATGAAATGGCCTTTTTTCTTTAAAAGAACAGGCTACACTTAAAGGGAAGATAATACTTTGATGAAACAATCTACAATTATGGGCAAGACTGAACATGTTTAGTGTTGGACCAAAAGGGATGTTTTTCAGGCAACTCATTAAGATGTCTGCGGTTTTACAGAGGGGGGTGTGTCTAAATTTGACTGCTACCATACTGAAATTGTAGTTATTAGACAAGACATTAGAGGGGTTCCAATTAATTATATAGCTTTCTCATTAAACGGTATATTATCATGAATAACTGAGAACTTGAACCGTCCAAAAGAAATGACCCAAACAAGTATAGCTGCCTTCAGTTATTTACCAGAGATTCCAATTCCTAACAACAGACACATCTGTAAGCCTGGAGAGCTCTGATGTGTATAACTTGGCTCAAGATGAACAGCAAACTTGGGGAAAACTTCCCCCTATTAGAAATGCTGCAAGTTCCAGAGCCAATAAAGTTACCAAAACTGTTTAGAACTAGATCACTTTAACAGACCCTTACACCCAGGTCCCCTGCAAGTCAAAGCAAGAGCCTCCAAAACAGACCACATGGGACGGAACTTTGGAGGGAGCTGCGTCTGTGATCTGATTCTCCAACTCCTAGACAACTCCATCCACGCCCGTACTAATGACTAAAAGCAGGTTTTCTGAGCTGGATGATTTTCCAAGTCCTATGAGCCTTAATTTACAGCCTTGGCAGTCACTCGTGAGTTACCAAATGTGTTCACAAACCCAAACAAAACAGGTTTCACAAATTGTCAAACATCAGCTTTCAGTTAGGGGGTGACATCTGGCACATCTGTAATCACTTTCAAATTGTTTCAGTTTGAGGTCAGATTTATTAACAGTTGGCAAACAGTGCTGCCTGACTTTTTAAAATTCCAAAATAAGAAAGTAAATAATTGAGAAATGTTAGGGGGTTCTTTACCCGGAGAAACTTTATGTATCTTCTGATAGTACCTATAAAGTTTTATATAGCATGCACATAATATTTATATAACTTGAAATGCAATCATTTTCCTAAATTTGCGCTCTAGTGCAATATGGTTCATAACATTTAAAATCAACAGGTAGTTTTCTTTCATTTCTTATGGAAATGTCTACTACCCTCCAATTTAAAGTCTAATATCAAGAATTTAACCCTGAGAATAAAAATCTAAAATATTCCTTCCAAGTATATATATTTGAAAGTTTTAGATTTAAATATGTAGGAGCAGAAATCATGCTAGTGGCTTGATTCCTGTCCTCCTGGTGTCACCACTGAAAACCGGTGAATTTCCCTTCTCCGATGTAACAGGCAGTCACGTCAGAGCAAAGTTAGGCTAGCCTGTGTTCTTCCAGCTGGCCTTAAAAATTCACTAGTACTCAGGCTAGAATTCAAAGTATAGCCCTACTTAGCTGGTATCATGAATTGTCTTTAAGCCAATAGTTAATAGCAATTTTATATTTTACACGCCTGGGTTGATCAATAGGAATGCCTAACAAATGTGAAAGGCTCTAGGATGATTTGTTGCTTTTCTAACATCTTTAACTTGGGAAAGGAAGAGGATTTCTTACAACTAAGCTTACCTGTGAAGCATATGCAAAGATATGACAAGCTGAGGCTCATTAGTAGTCTGAGAACGGATGAGTTTGCTTTTCGTTTGTGCAGCAACAAGAGTGCCGTCGGACAAGGAGAAACGGTAGATCTGACTGAAAGCCAATCCTTGTCTCAGCACTGCCGGCAAGCAAGGAAACAGAATGCACATTTAGGAAGCACAGGGGGCGGGACAAGACACAATACTAGTGATAAACTGCATTATGTTTAATATTTTCTGACCAGCAGTTAGAGTTGTAAGTAATATTTCATGATATTAAAACATTACACATTTTTAAAAGCACATTTATTTTTCACTTAAAATACCAATAAATTCAATATATTGGTCTTTTAAAAAAATGAAGTTTAGACTCTCAGACTGTTCTTTTAAAAATCTTCAGTACCATGGCAAAACAGAGTGTAAACAAACAACTTATTAGCTCAAATAAGCTTTACAATGACTTGTTTAAAATGTTAGAAAACAATGCAGAAAACATATCTCTAAAGTATACAATCTGCCTTTCATTTCCCTTTAAACTAATACAGATATTACAGTACAATTTATGACAGTAAATCTGTTCTCTGAATATTCATCTCAATTACACACTGTTCAATCCATCATCTCACACTACTATTCCCCAAGTCTGTTTCTCAGTGTGTAAGAAGCATTATTTCTGTGGCTAAAACAACAGGAAGTAAAAGATAAACAATCAGAAAAATCTTTTCAGAGAAAAAAAGGCCAAAAAGAAAACTGAAGCAACAAAAGTACAAATCTTAGTGAATGGAATTGGTTTAAGGTCTTGATAAAGTCAGGTGTTTCCATTTTCAAACCACTAGCGGAAAATATAGTGCAGATCAACTAAGGTTAAAATAATTTCTCTTAAAGTAAAATTTCATGATTCATCTTTTAAAACAACTGTATTTTAAGACTGTTAAATACTGCATATTAAAAAAGAACATTTTGATTCAGAAAAAATAGCCATATAATTTCGTTACCTCTTAAGCCATTTTAAGAAGACTACTGTGTTTTTAATTTTTTTACTATTTTTTAAAATTGATTTCAGAGAGAGAAGGGAAGAGATAGAAACATCAATGATGAGTCACTGATCAGCTGCCTCTTGCACGCCCCTACTGGGGATTGAGCCCGAAACCCGGGCATGTGCCCTGACTGGGAATCAAACCTCGATCTCCAGAATCCTGGGTCCAGGTTCAACCACTGAGCCATGCCAGCCAGGCAAGATTACCATGTTTTTACCAAATAATCCTCAGCACAAATTTTGTGGGTTGAATAGCTAGCCTCAAAATGACCAATAACATTCACATTCTACAGGATGGGGGGGGGGAAGGGAAGGAAGAGAGGCTGACACATGGTAAAGGTTCTGATTTCTTGGTAAAATTGGAGCACTTTCCGTAATGAAACCCCCTCCGCAGCTTGCTACCTGCAGTATTTAGGTATTACGTTCTGGCCTCAAATGTTGAGTCACTCAGAAGTGGCAGCAATGGAAATAAACTACTGTCCATATGTGCCTCTTGCCTTCTACAGTATGTTCCTAAAAGGTAGGATAAATACCATTTTTATAATAAGATTCATATTTCCAATGGCTTATAATTTCAGAATTTTATCTGACTTTGGATGTGACTCTTTAAGACTTTCCATTTCCATTTGATCTACATCAAACGTGTTTACTAAGTAGACCGTGTAAGAGTGCATCTGAAGCATTTAGGAAGCTCTCCATTTAAACAAAGCTCTCCAGAAGATTTTTATTCAATGCAAATGATTACCCTCGATCTTATCTACTTCCTACATTTAGATAAAATGTATTTCATATGTTTCAGAGCTTCTTTTCAGTGGGTCCCAGCTAATGAAATCTAGTGCAGTACCTGGTACATCTGTCTAAAACCTTTTGTAAAGAACCAGGAAGCCACAGAATTAAATGTAGGGCACTGCTATGCAGGGCCCAAGGACATGTTCGCTCATGGTGAGCTCTTATTTTTCGTTGTTACTATTCTTGCTATTTTAAACAAGATTTGGTGAAATGGTATTGATTTCTACCAAATGTAGTCTTTTTATTTCCTCTTATTCTTTTCAACGTAAAAGAAAAATGATGGAAGACACAAATTGTTGGATTATGGGCTTATTTTAAAAGAAATCTGATAAGTAAGATAAAAAGAATGAAAAGATGAGGAAAAACGAAGGGAAAGAAGAGAGGTCATTTGCTATGATTGGAACTTTTCATCAGCAATCTTAAAAGCATAAAGTTTAAACATATAAACACTACTGGTAAAATGCCAAGGTCACAGATGCACAGAAGATGGAAGATGTCAAACTAAAACTCTATTTTCAGTAATGAGTTACAATATTTCTCTGCAAAAATGAAGACAATTTGCCATTTGCCAAATTGAGTTATGAGGCACCGGCCCTGCCCCTGGTCCTCACAGGCAGCCTGGCCTCTGAACAAGGGCACGCTGCCAGGACACGGGTGCCCACGTGGAGGACCAAGTTCTCTCTCCCCCCTTGGTACTTCGGAAGTGCTGCGGGAAGGAATTTTTTCTTTGTTTTCGTCAATTTAAGAAATGCCCAGGATGCCCCTGAGGGAACGTGATTCTGTGGAAGAACTTTAGGGGCAGCAGAACGGAGTGATTGGCGGGATGGGCCTCAGATCAATGTCCAGTGCTGACACTACCTGCTCAGGATCCGTCATTTCACCTGCACCAGCCTCCCTGTCTAAGCAGGAGAGTCAGTGTCTGCTCCGCAGCGGGTCGTGAGGACCAGTGAGATAACGGAGAGGGACAGTGCCAGACAAGACCAGGAGCTCAATAAGGGCAGCTGTTAGGACTGAAATATGACGCCCAAGTCTTGGGTTTAGTTCCAGTTGTCCTATTAATTAATTGTATGACCTCAGGCAAGTCACCTCATCTCTCAGACCCTTCCAGAAACACCTGGGCAGCCTTTAGTGGTCATCATCTGGAAGGAGGGCTTGGGACTCCACTGCCACCTCAATAAAAAATCCACAAATTTCATTTCATTTCATTCCTCTTTCCAGATTCTCCTTACGATTCAGATAATATTTGTTTAGATATTAGACGGTACTTTGTCTTACACATCTAGAAGCGCTAAAATGGAAGACAACGACCTCTTTCCCTTTCCTTTCATCTGTCTGTGAAATGATCACATCCAAGTCTATGTCTCTCATCATAGTCTTCTGTCCAACGACTTTTCCTGTGGAATCGTCCTTCAGATGGCAAGGTCACCTGGGTGTGGTGAAGTGGGCACACATGAACACAAAGAGTAACCAGACCTAAGTCGGCCAAGGTGAGCTTCAGGAATCACTGTTTCAGAGAAAGCTCCTGCAGGAAGTAGTAATTTAGCAAAATCAAGTTCAAGAAAAATATCCTTTGGAGATGCTTACCTTCATGATGATGCCTCTTGGCATAGGACAAAGACTCCCCCTCATGCTGTGCATGGAACTTCTGAATGCACCTCCTCACCAGGTCCTCCCAGCCGGGCTTCATGGCGGCCCGCATGGTGCTCGTGTCCAGTGAAGTGATCTTGCCTAGTAACAGCAAGAGTTACCCTATGTACTGATCTATTACTTATGGAAATTAACTTTTTAAAAGTTAAAAACTTGTTTATTTACACTAGTACATGGACCAAAAGGATAGACAGTGAAAATAATCGTCCCTCCCTGCCCCTTCCTCCAGCTCCTCAGTTTCTACCCAGCAGTCACTAGTCCCAGCATCTTTGGCCATCAAAGCCCATTCCTTGCACCAACAAATACGTAAGCATTCGAAAATGATTTCTTCGGTCCTTTTTTGCAAAGAAAACTTACCTTGGAGATCTTGGCGAGTAGTAAAACTTTCTGATGAGGGAAGAACTGGTCTTTCCTTCATGGGGACTCTCCTCGCCACACAGATCAAGCAGGACTGCAAATCTTCAATCAGACACTTAGGGTTATCACATTAGGCTTTTTTGGTGATTCAAACAAACTCAAGTGTATTTATGACAGCACAACCTTGTAAATCAGCAAGGGAGAGTGACAAAGCACCAGGTACCTCTGCTGTTCACTGGCTCTATTCTCTCCTCCAATGAGGTGGGAAGCAGCTGGGGAGAGGGAGGGCTGTGTGCATAGGATGAGCTGGGGGAGCTGAGGATAAACTGCTGGAGCCACACGATACATGCCATAAAAGAATATCCACCGTACTAGCGTTGGCAACCTGACACCATCCACCCAATGATGGAGAAGAATGGGACCCTTTCTTATTATTAAATGGCTGACGGTAACAACTGGCTGAATTCATAACAAAGTGGGGAAATGGTGAAAAGCAATCTATGCTCTGCTTTGTCAAGGGTTTGCCTCTGGAGTTTCAGGTTTACCTTGATAAGGAAAACTAGGTGTACCTTCTACCAAACGATGTAAATATCCCTATAATGGCACTATGCAATTTAAAACAAAGACCATACACTAAGTCTAGACTCCGATTTGGAGAACAAATCCTAGAAAATGCGGTGTGTGCCAAGTTCAGAATTGTGGCCATGGCTGGTTTCCCACACAGCCGGTGCTAAGTGTTTCCTCCTTACCCCACCTTTGACTGCTTTATGCATCTATGTTCACTTCTGGAGAACAGGGAAATGTTTTATTTATCTTTGTAACATGCAGAGCACATGGCATAACCCTTTCAATTTCAAAAATGCTCAGTAAAAGGCTGTTAAAAAGATGGTCTCTTCATATCTTACACTAGTGACTTATGATTATTCCCCTTTAAATTTAGGAAAAATTTCCTTTAAATATGTCCAGTAATAGCGGGAATCACAAAATTAAATGTAATCCTCATCCTCAACCTATTAAACACTAAATTTCTGAGCACTTACTATGAGATGGACATCTGTCTAGCTGCTTTTATAGGATACTAGTTCATTTAACACTTTCAACAACTCTCTGAGATGTGTACTAGCATTGTCTCCATTTAACAGAGGAGAAAACCAAAGCAGGCAGTTTAAGTAACTTGCTCAAGATCACAGAAAATTTGGTGAAGCCAGGACTTGAACCTGAGCACACCATGGCTCAGAAACTCTGCTCACGCACTATACTGAGAGCTAACATCCAGAATCAGATTTCGATATTTAAATAGATCACACACCAAAACAACCATTAGTGCAGCTATATCTGCTTTATACTCCTTTAGAATATTATCATAGACAGATGAATTACTTACTCTGTTGCATAAAAGTGAATAGTCACTTGACATTCCACACCTACATATAAACTTAATTTTGAAAAACTATGTATTGTCTATGACCATGCTATTACTTCCTTTCTAATACAATTTAAATTAAAAATTACTTATTATTATTTTTTTAAAAGGCCTAAATGACTAGTACTTAATGACGATCACGGTTCAGGCATAGTTGTGTAATCCTTACTACATTCTGGCACTGCTATCGACTTCACTTGATTCTAGAGTAAACTCATGTTCAGAGAGCTCAAGGAGTTTGCCCAGTGGAGTTGGTAAGTGGCTGACTCGGGAGCCGGCCTGCCTGATGATAAAGCCCCTGATGCTTCTGTCCAGCCGTGGTCCTCAGCTCTCCCCTTCTGCTATGCATGCAGAATGCACTATTCAGCATGTCTCATGGTGGACACTACATCGGTTTCTCTTTAAGGGGAAGAGCTTAAGGGCTTACAGTCTGAAACCCCCTCCATTCCCCACTCCCATCTCTATCCTCACTGAAGTATCATTGTGGAATCCATTAATCCCTTGAAAGTACAACTGGCCCTTGAACAACAAATTTCAACTGCACAGGTCCAACTTATATATGGATTTTTTTTTAATACATACATATAGTACTGTGTAAATCCATTTTTCCTTCCTTATGATTTTCTTAATAGCATTTTTTTTTTTTCTAGCTCACTTTATTGCAAGGATACAGTATATCATACATAAAACATACAAAATATGTGCTAATCGACTACTATCAGTAAGGCTTTTGGTCAACACCAGGCTATTAGTTAAGTTTTTGGGAAGTCAAAAGCTATACATGGATTTCTGACGATGCAGGGTCGATGACCCTAACCCTGAGTTGTTCAAGTGTCCACTATACATGAAAAACGCTGTTTGTAGCATGTGCACTTTTCTAGGACTGTGGCTCACAGCAGACGACAGGAGCTCAGGCTCCCCAAGAGGTTCAACACTAACAGGGTAGCCACTAGCCACATGTGGCTATTTAAATGTAAATTTAATGAAACAGAAAATTCAGTTTCTCAATGGCATTACTGGCATTTCAAATGCTCAAGAGCCACATGTAGCTAGTGGCTGCTGCACTGGACACTGACGATCCATAACAATGCCTCCACTGCAGAAAATTCTATTGGGTAGAGTTGTTTTAAAGACTTAAAAATTAAATTTATCATAAACTCTCTCTAAATTTTCCTTCGTGTAGTCACTAATTTAGATTGAGTGTGAAAGCAGCAGCTAGAATAAACAGGTGGGTATAAAATGTCCTAGGGATTCAGCCCCACCTTCTCCTTCTTCTTTGATGGACTTTGGTTGAGAGACAGCAAAGCACTGCATAGTTTCGTATTTCTGATGTGCTTCCTGGTTGTCATGACCTTCCTCTTCAGAATCAGGCAAAGGTTTTACCAGCATCCGGCAATTGAATGTATGGCTGTTCCGCCTGGGAGGTTCGCCAGACCAAGATCCCCCATTCACTGAGCAAGGCAAAGCAACCAGAAATTATAAAGAAACCAACGTTAGATTCACTGCCAAATTATCAAAATGATACAGGAAGCATATACTTATTTTATTTTTATATAGTGTTTATACTTTTCTAAGTGATTTCATAATTGGGGGGGGGAATTCTTGGGTGAATGTTTCAACAACTTGGGAAAATTCTAGGGATTTTCAAAATGTCTTATTACCCTTCCCTTCAAGTTCAGGTCCTGACTATTTACTACTAGAATACTATAGTTCTCTATTTTGGGGTTTTTCAAACTTTGATTTCTTAGAAATTTAGTTGAATCTACTTGCATTCCAGTTTTAGATATTACCCCCTGCTCAAAAATCTGTAAGTGGCACCAACTATAGGCATGCATTAAATTCTTTAAAAAGATTTGGACTTTACGTAGCAGGAGTACGAAGGACATTCAAACTGATATATCAGAATCTCACCAAGAAGCCCCATCTTCTTCATCTAAGCAGGTCTTTCACACTGTCCAGCATTTTCCACACCCAGGCCCACATAGATATCTTTGCTCCTACTGTCCTGTCTAAAATGTCAGGCTGCCTGTTTTTCTCCCATCTAGTGTATTTCTGCTCTAAGGATGAGATCCCCTAGCTACTGTAGGCACCCCACACTGCCTCCTCTTCCTTGACTAAAATTTTACAGAAATTTTAGTATATATTTTGTAACATGGCTATTGCTGAATTACTCTATTGTCTTTTTTGTTTCATGCATATTTCCTCAACAAGACTGAAAGATCCTTGAGGATACACTGCTAATATTTATTTCTTTCAAGTGAAAAAGTGCTATTTTAGTATCAATACTTAGAATGATTAATTTTGAGATTTAAAGGGGATTTATGTATCCCCAGGTCAACTTTCTCAGAAAAAACTGTCCAAAGAAATGTTCACCACTGAAAGAGCTGGCCTCAGAATGAAGCCCGATCCTCATTCTGGCATTCCTTTCTTTACTATTCCTTATGAGTAATCTACAAAGTATCAGGACCAGCGAGGCAGTGAGAGAGGGTATCAAAACCTGGCTAGTCACAGATAAGCTAATGCACTCTCCAAAGTCACTGGTTAGAAAGCTCTGAATGGCAGCTGATGTTATGGGAAATGCATTGCTAACCCCATAGCCACTGGGCTGCAGAGGAATAAAAAAGGACACAAATGCTAGAGAGAAAAAGGCAGTATCAGGTTAACTGCAACAAACCATTTCAGAATTGCAGAAGGAACCAGAGCTAACTTAACACGCTGATGCAGACATTTGGGATGTTAATGTCACCACCAGCATTCTTACAAGCTTATTTACATAATGAGGACTACACAGAGTAATCAAAGGACAAAGCGTTCTTATTAACTCAGGTTAATAAGTAATTTGAAAGTATAAAAAAGTACAATATAAAGTAAGGCAAAGAACTCCTTAGACAAGTGAATTAATAATAGTGAATTAATAAGTACGGTCCTTTGAGGAAGTCATGAAATTACTGAAGAGATTTGAAAATATTAGTTACTTGAAATAAGAAATCCCATTTTCTTGTTCATTTATTAGAGAATAGAATAGAAGAATCACCACAAGTATTCATGTATTCCGTATTCCTGGTGCAGTCACTTTGAATAAAGGGTTATCATATCAGGGAAAGGCCAGCGCTAATGGAATCTGAAAGGACCTTTTCCTACTTACTGTGGTGGCGATAAGACCAGTTAATATAAACAGTCTTGAGAAAAAGAACCGAAATACTTGCTAACTCAGGACTTGACCTTATTCTCTCTTAAAATATGCACTTCTTTTTCTCGGTGAAGATGTTCTTAGCATCATCAGTTTAAGTGAGAATATTAAAAAAAGAACCACTTAGTAAGTGGGATCAGCCATACTCCGGAGCAGCAAATAAGGCGTACCCACGCTGTGACTCACCCGCCTTAATATGGCCCTTAACCCCAGCCTCGCCGGACAGCATCTCCAGCATGAGACGAGGGAGCCAGGACAGGGAGGTGGCTGAGGAGGCAGCACCTGACGGAGACCCCTGCAGAGGCACTGAGCCGGTGACATGGAAGAGCCCATTTAGGGCTCCGGGCTGAGAGCATCTGAGCCCTCTACACCCACTTGTTTCTGAACATTTTATTTTTAGAATGTTGTTTGCACCCACGTACATACTTTTTTCACCAGTCGGACTCAACATAAGTTGAATCTCAAACTTCTTATGACCTTCTACTTCTTAGACAGTCATAGAGAAAAGACAAAACAGAGTCACTGGCACTGGGCAGAGTGGGAAACAATTTGGCAGCTTCTCAAATAACAATAAAACCCCATGAAAAACAGTCACCACGAGTCCTTTCCAGCAGCATAACTTTCATGTACTTTATTTAAATGCAGGACCAAGATGATCAAGATCAATGTCCGTCTGCAGATGTCCTTTTCTCCATGACTTTTAAGCTTAAATATTAACACAAACATCTCTATATCCCCAGCTGACATACTATAGTTCTATCTTACTCCTCTGACCCAGACAATGTGTACAGTCGGGGAGGGAGAGGGAGTGAGGAGAGACCCAGCAGACAATCTTTTACCTATAGACTTTGGCAGCAGGTTTTTGACAAATTCAGTGTGGTCCCCAACATGCAGGATGCTATATACACTTTTGTTCATCAGCTCCTCTTGGTTATACCTTAGGTACTGTGTCACATTCTCTGAAACAAACACAACGTTGCCTTCCAGGTTCACTACAAAGAAGAACCCATCAAGGGCCTAAGGGAAAAGACATGAATTGTGTTAGAGAGGATACAACATAAAACCATATGCAATTGTTAAGACAGCAATGATCCCTTTAAGGGAAACATATAATTCACACATGGATAGAAAAGGGATCTCTCTCGCCTCTCCTAGTTTTCAGAAACAACACATTTTCTGTTAGTGAAATTACTCCAACTTAGTAGGTGGGAGAGAGCCCAGACCAGAGATTCTTGTCACAAACTAAATGATAAACACAAACTCTGTTAATTTATCAGGAGATAATTTAATTATTGCCAAGTAAAAGTATACAGGTATTTATCTATATTTTCAATATAAGGTTGATGTACTACTCCATAGGGCCAAGAACGACTTCGTTACCAACCCAACACAAAGTAATGTTGCACAGTCTCCCATGTAATACAATGGAAATGTTCACTGATAATTTTCCCTCAGTTAAAGGATAAATGCCAAGAATCACCACCACCACCAATTTTAGTACCTTTAAAGCTGCCTGGGTTTAAGCGAAAGAATTGCAGATCTTCTCAGACCTTTAAAGGCACAGTGGTCCTTTACTGTTTGGTATATATGGGGAAAGGGTCTGAGAAGTCTCTATGATGTGACGAACTGTCTTTGTTGGAACCTCAGGCAGAGATGTGGCCAGCACTGCCTTGAGGCCTGAGGTTTGGGTTTGTAGCAGTGAGAACTGGAAAGCTAACTAACTGCTCGTCTACTGTACTTGTTCAGATTGTCGGGGTGCAGGTTCCTACGTCATCGAGCTAACAGTAGCATATTTACTGTAATGGGTACATAGCCTCTCTTTTCCTTGTCATTCCAAAATAGATGAGGGAAGGAGATGAGGAATCTAGGACCAATTCAGGAAATAAAGACAATAGTGGTAGCTACTGAGCACGTTTACTATGCCTTAAACACACTGTGTCATTTTACTATTTAAAACTCTAGGAGGAACGGACAGAGGAGGAAGACACGGGCTCAAAGAGGCTAAGTGATCTGTCCAAGCTCCTGCAACTGGTCAGTGGCTGAGCGGGAATTCGAATGTAGGTGCACCAGCCTCCAGAGCTCGTGCTCTCGACAACGCGGTGAGAGTTCTACCCCAGTCCATTTCCCAGCATGTTTGCCTCAGTGATGCAAAGGGAGTTTCTCTTAATCCCCCTTTCCCTTTTTGAGCCCTGCTTGTCAGAGCTCTGTCAGGTGAGTGGTCAGGGCTAAAAAAGGCTTGATATTCATCAGGCATACCTGGAAAAGGGCCACCTGGCTACCCAGTTTATGCCACACCTCTCTCCATGTTATGTATTTGCAATTGTTTTTAACATGAATATTACGTGTACATACTGGTGTAACGTGTATGGATGGGGCATTAGGTGTTTACTTTGCCCCTAGTTTTGTTTTTTTCTTGTTAGTATTTAACAGACTCCTATTTTGTGAGGTTTGAGTATATTCCATATTTAATTCAATCTTAATTACAAATCTAAGAGCTCTCTCAAATTAGAACTGACTGCGAGGAACCAGTGAAAAGCTCCTCCTGCCCCCAACTCAACACCATTTGGTTTTAAATTTGTCTTAAGTATTTTGTCAGGTTTTACCAATGGTATAAACAATATGCTGGGCAAAGCAAAACTATATGTAAATGGCCTTCCAGAATAGGTTGGCACCAACCCTTAAAAACGTCGTGTATGTGTACGACCGTGCGTGTCTGTGAGAGGGGACAGGGAGTTGGTTGACTACTTATGTAACAAGTGTCCTTTGAAGCTCACTGCTTTAGATACCAATTCATTGTGGATTTCCATAATTATAGCTCATATAGTTCACGTTTGAAAGTGCATGTAGTGTCCTTTTGCTTTTGTAACCAGGTAAAAAGACTGACTTGTGGCTTAATATAATGGAAAGATAAAATTGTTTCATCTTATAAAACTGTTTGTGTTATTTTTAAAAGCTCTCTACGATATGCTGATGACAAAGGCTGACATTTGGTTTTGTTGCCTAGCAACCACTATGCGCTATGATGTAAGCATGAGTGTGCATCTATGCTTAGGAACAGCTCAACAAGAACAAGTTTTTTCTGTTTAAATTATTACATGTTAACAGAGATAAAGATTGAGATCCAAACTCTAAGTCACCAGATTCAAGCATTACCTCTTTAACAGGTTTAGCACTAACGTCCAGTTACACTGGGACTTGCTCAATGTACTGAATTCTCAGAAGACTATCTTGAAACAGCAAAAATGTTGGTTTGATTTTATGAGATAAGGGCCAGTGACATCTAGCAATTTGGTTTCTACACTTAATGAACTTGCTCTCAAATGGTTTGAATCACGGCCTTCTCGTTACTCTAAGCATTCCTGTTTAGAAGCCTCAGAAATCTTCCCAGGAGTTTCCACCTACATTAATTTTTTCCCTGATACAAAGAATAAACACTGATATATGAAAATTTCCTAATTGTAATAATTTAGACTACTATAATTTTCAAATCAATTTTGTTTGTAATTCAAGATACTTTTCACAGAAGTTATCGCCTTTCTTTCATTGAATTCTAAACAGTCCACCCACTGAGAGTTTTCTTATCTGCTTCTAAGAATCAAGTGGGAAACAGCACTTTCCGGCCTTCCCGTGTCTTGTTGACTCTGGAAAAGCAGGTTAAGTGTGTTTTTTGCCTTTTCCTTGAAAATTGTAGTTGGAAGATTTCAAGTCAGTGAATCAAGAGAAATAATCAAGAGCCAACATAGGTCATTTAATCTTTTGGCAGCAGGTCCGGCCCCAGGGAATGACCTTTATCATTTCTAAATACTACAAAGACTGTGTCAGGAAATTTTATCTATTTTTTCTGTGTCCCTTGCCCCACCTTCCAATTATATGGTAGATATTCACAGAATTCAGTTTTCTAAAAGTAAAAATCATCTTATGAACCAACTGAAAAAAAAAAGGGTGTGTGTGATAATTGGTTATCTTTGCTTTAAAAATCCTAATTTCTTATATATATTTGGCTGCTGCAAAGCTTCTGGCCATGCGGTACTTTTCAATATCATCTCATCCTATTAGCAGAGGAAATTATCTTGAGAACTGACATAATTTATGTCTCAGGGCTCCTCTGCTTCTTGTTATATGTTCTCTGACATTTCTCCCTCATCTTACCATAGCCTACATCTTGAATTTTAATTCTGGAATAGGTAGAGCACAATACTGGGTGTTTAATACTGTGCTAGTTAATAAAATAGGGAAACCGGACTTTACAAATTCTAGACAGCAGTCTGGTCATAAAACTTCCTTAAGTTAATAAAGAACAGGCCGTTAAGACCAACCATTACACTGTGATGCTTATCTTAAAAGTTCTGCCTATTACTTCAATTTTTATCTTTATGAGATAAACTAGTTTGAAGTTGCCTCAATAAAAATTGTAAACCTTCTTTTGGTCCTCAAATTTCAACCTGTATATATAAGGGATATGCATATGATACATATAAAATCTAAGAATTTAGGGGAAATTTCAAACTAAAATATATCAGAACTTAACAGGACTTGTGAACATGATTTTCCAAAATGAATGCTCAACTGGCAGTGAAAGTCTATCAATTTATATTCTAGTCTAGTCAGTTTCATTCTATAGCATTCATCTGAAATGTGTATATGCTGGAATCAGGAGCCAGAAGATACATGTTAATAAACCCAAGAGGTAAGCAGTACTTAGGAGTGAAAATTAACTGTGGATTATCCTTAAGTTACATTCACCTGAAAATGAATGTAGTAACAAGAAGATCAACAACATTGTAAAATACAGAACCAAACTAGGGTGTGCTACCTCAAGCATCATCGGCCCCAGCGCATCCTTGTCGATGACACCCTGCCCTGTGGATGACACGTCTGACTTCTGCACTTCATCTACGTTGGCAGCTGCTGCTTTCTCTGCAACAAACGTAAGTGTGAAATAAATAGCAGTGCTATTTCAAGGACAGAGTGACACAGAAGCATTTTTATTGTAATGATTTTTATATCTCTAATGGGATCAGATATGACTATAAAAGAGTTGGAGTATATCCCCACTGCCACTGAGCAGATGCAGGAGCCAGAACATTCACTTTTCGCCACCACAACCTGTGGCTGGGCTCCCTCTCAGGCTGCTGACAAAATGAGTTTAGTGGCTTTACACTACTCCCAGACAAGCATTTCTCCTAGATTATGAAATTGCTATGTACTAGGGCACAGTCAGTTTCTACCCAGGAGATGCCCCAAACTAGGAAGATGAAGGGACTGCTGTTCCAAATTCAGTAGTGTAATCAGATCCATTTGCACACATTTGTAGGAGCAGAGAGGTGTCTAACCTGCTATGGCTGCTCACACATGACACTTTATAATGACCACCTTGACTCCTGTCCTGTTCGACCTCTTGTCATAATCACATTTAAAGTAACCAGAAAGATTTAGTCCCTGTCTTGTTGAAGGTGCTTAACCACTTAAGGCAGAGAGGACAGGCACCCTATCAGGCACCCAGAGAATTTCAGTGGCCGCCCCACTTTCCATCTGGTACAGAGGTGCCTAACATGTGCTCCTGGATTAAAATGTGTGAGGCAGCTTTCAGGCCCACCTGGCCCAGAAAACATTCCACCATGGAAAATTCTCGCAGAAGCAATAGATGCATATTTGTCAATACATATGTAAAACCAGTTGCTTCAAGAATACCAAAAAATTTTTAAAGCATAATGGATACATATTGACTTGTTAGAAAACAACACAGAAACCATGTACCAGTTATTTGTACCTGAATCAATTATATCCCTATTTACGCTGCATGTTATCATTGCAATTAAATGCAAATAAAGAAAACTGTAAATCAATGTAGTACTCAGAATCAACCTGCTTTCATGATGTTGGTAAATTTTGCTGCCTCTTTTAGTATTATTATTTTTTGTAAAAAGGATTTTATACACTATTTTGAAAACCTGTCAAGCTTAATTTGTACCTGAGAACCTAGAAAATAAAATTAGGAAAATTATGCAGGTGCTCCAAATCTTGCCACTCCCGTGATGAGAGCTTCCGCATGTCTCTTTCCCAGGGGAAAGGAGATGACCTGTGTAGTTCAGGCAGACAGGCCTTTTTTTTTTTTTTAAAATATGTTTTTATTGATTTTTAGAGAGACAAGGCAGAGGAGGAGAGAGAGATAGAAACATTGGCAAAAAGTTTATGTAAGCTGGAATTCTAGAAGTCCCTGACTTTTTAAAAAGTGAAAACAATTTCCATAAGATCAACTTAAAACTGTAACAGGAGGACATGTGATTTAAAAAAGATCTCTGAATGACTGCAAGAGAGCTTTGAAAAATATGGGGAAGGCCTGGGGGGGTGGCAGATGTGGGGTGGAAGGGATCAATGGGGGAGAGGAAAGAGGGGTATCTGTAATACTTTCAACAATAAATTAAAAAAGAAAATTGTTGCAATACTTACACAAATATCATTTGTATATATTACGAGAATGGGAAGTTTTCACTACTCCTAAAGTAAATAAATAAGAGACAAGGGAAAAGAATTTAGGGCTTTTCACTCCTGCCCTCATTAAATGTTTGGATATATGCATTTCCCAGCTAATTTGTCATCTATTATTCAATTCCATATTAAATTTTTGCTTTGACCATTCTCAATATCAAAGATAAAAAAGGAATTAATATGAGGTGATAGAATACAGCCAAAAATAAGGTTTTATCAATGTAACTGAATTCTAAATTAAATTGGCCACGAATTTATGTTACATGGGTACTTTTCATGAAGTAACTACTACCTCTGTTCAATGTTCGGTTGATCCTTGATATTTATTATATAGAAGGAAGAAAGGAACTCCTTTGAAATATATATTATTATATGTTAATGGTACATATACTGGTATCATTTTTTTTATTTTAATTTTTCAATTATAGTTTACTTTCAATATTATTTTGTATTAGTTTCAGGTGTACATTATAGTGGTTGGACAATCATACTTTACAAAGTGTTCCTCCCCCTGATACTCCCAGTACCCACCTGGAGTTATACATAGTTATAATATTAATGACTATATTCCCTGTACTTTACACCCCTGTGATTATTTTGTAACTACCAATTTGTACTTCTCAATCCCTTGTCTTTTTCTCCCAGCCCCCAGACCTCCCTTTCTTATACTGGTATCTCGATGGAGCACTTCAGTAAAGACTATGCTATTTTTATGTACCAGATATAAATAAGCTTAAAGTTTTAGACTTCTGGAAGTATAGCAATACTATACTAAAACACACTATTTAATATTTTTAATTTAGGCAGTTTTCTCAGCGGTCACAAATTATATTTACATATCTATATTTTGCATCCATCAACCATAAAAATATATTCTGCTATAAATATATCCTTCAGTAAACTCAAGTGAAAGAAGATTGTCCCAGGGTTTCCTATGATCAAAACCTTAGGGAATCTCATTATTTCAGGTGGAACTCTTAGACTGGAGAAAGAGATGATAAAATGCAATTTTCAGAGCCTACCAAAAACCTTCCCCTCTGTGCCCTGACTTCCATTTCTTCCTCCTGCACTTCAACCATTATTCTTTTTAGATAAAGAATATGACCTAAAGACCAAAAAAGTATCATAAAATGGCTATGATCTTTTTACTAGCAGTTTTACAAATGCAAAGCCCTGATTAGAGAGGTCACCAGGATGCCTCTATAATCTTCCTCCGAGTGTCCCCTCCCTCCTGGTGGCTGCTTGGAGAGCAATCCCATCCGCTGCCCTCCGACATTTGCCTGCACTCCAGAAATCCAATACCAATTAATTAGATTTCCAGTTTCAAAGCAAAGAACAAAACCCCATCTCTTCAGGGACAGTGTTAAGATGAGTCATACTACAAACCGGAGAAAAATTACTAATATTATATTCCATACGCTTTTCTTTATAAGTAATTATTATTCGTGTTTTCTTTCAGAACAGAAGAAAAGGTGAAAGGGAAGCATATGATCTCTAGAAATAGAAATGATTTAAAAACACAAGGAGAAGCAGGATTTTTTGAAGCAGCTGGATGAAATGGTTCTTTCTCATTGGCAGCTACAGGCAAACACTTGAAAGTAAAAAATAAGTTTACTGGTGAGAACAGCAATAAATCAGAAAGCAAAAAATTTATCTTTTAAAAAGTTCAGTTAGCTATTTGAAAATTATGAAGTGGTGTTTTTTAAAAAAGACCTTTACATGTTCTTCTAAAACATCATCTATTGGTTTTTGGTAACTTCTTGAATCTTGTAATGTTAGGAAGTCTTATCTGTTTATTAGGCAACTGAACTAAACATACACTCCAAGGGCCTTCCCACAAAACATGACCAGAACAGAGCCCAATGTCCTCACAGTGACGGCAGTGGTGGCTCAGGGGCCAGCCACGTACTTGTGTTCCCACTCCAGTAGCGGCACTGGCAAGCCACCAGCGGTGACTTAGAAGCCTAAATGCTGTTTAATGTCTGTTAGAGGGACAGGGCGATGTGGCCGCTATGGAAGCGGTTTAACTCCTTTTCTTCTTCATGGGTTTTTTTTTTGTGTGTGTGTGTTTTAAATCATCTGAAGAGGCAGTGGAAAACTTGCAAAAATCAGTCTATCTTTTAAAAGTCATAATTCAAACAAATAGCAATTACTAAAAATACATCAACTGAAAGATAATGCATAGGGTATTTACACATTTACAGAAAAATTTTAGCACTGCCCATGTTTAGAGCTCCCTGACATGTTAAAAATTTAAAGTTATTTTTATGTTTGGTCAAGCATGAGTAGAGTGGCTTTAAATTCTATTATCTAAAGTATAGAATCTTTAGGCCCTGGCAGGTAGCTCAGTTGGTTGGAGCATTGTCCAGATGTAGCAATGACCAATGAGTGCATCAGTAAGTGGAACAACAAATCGATGTCCCTCTCTCTCCCTTCTCAGATCAATAAATTAAAAATAAAATAAAATAAAGTATAGAATCTTTGACAAAAATGGAACCTGATACTTTATGCAGGTTTTATAATGAACTCCACTGCCTTGAAATGAGTAAAGTCACTCACTAAGAAATCTATCAATTTTTCAGTAGACTGATGTCAAACACAAGTCTAATCATCTCCACAACAAATTTTAAGACTCTAGTGGGAACACATTCACCATTTTCATCTCTTCCTGCATTCAGGAGCTGGGTGATTTCAGGTGAGAGACGGTCAACCCTGGCAGTAGTGGGACCATGCAGAGCAAAGGAGTCACTAAAACAGTGACAGGCAGTCTCCGGCCAAGCACCACAGTTTAAATATTATGGGAAAAGTTATGGATCATCTCAAAGGTTCTAGAAGGTAAAACCAGAGAATTATGCATCTGTACCCAACTAAAATTAGAAAAGCTGCCATATGGCTGTGCGAAGCCAGCAGCACATTCTTATTCATTAGGAAGCATTCTGCTAACATAAAAACACAAGGCCCTTCCTGTGCTCTCCAAATGTGTTTATCTTTTCAACATTAATGCACTATATATCATCAGGCTGCTGAAATCTCCTGCCGTGCATATTAAAAACGCGCAGCTGCACTTTCTTTAGTAGTGGGAGGAACCTCAACCCCAAGTTGGCTCCCTCTCTTTCTGACATTGAACTTCTTGTTTCCCTTCAGCATGAAGAAACTGCAAAACGAACCAATCTCAAGGCCACTGCCACCCAGCGAAACCCCCTCACTCTCTGCTTCCTAGAGCAATACACTTGGTTTCGTTTTCATCAATGGTGAAGATGGTCACTTAAACCAAACCCACGGTCCTGCTACAAGTTTGAATGTATAGGCCCTACTTGTGAAATGAATGTGCTACACTTATCAAGAGACAAAGAGTAACCAGGAGAGACTGGGTATAGTGGCTAGAAAATGCTTTTGTTTGTAAGAACCTGTCTTTGTCGGTAAGCACC